AACATAATCTTCTGTAACAACCCAGAAGCTCAAAGAATGATAGAAGTGACAAGGACCAGTGGAAACAGACACAACAAAATCTATATATAATACTTATTACATAGTACAGAACTGAAGCCTCTCCTTTTCAGGCTTAGAATATGTGACTTGATTTGATAAATAGTACTTTGCCGTCCAGTTTCTCAACATTTTCTTCAGTTTTATACTTAAAATCAGAGTCGTAAAAAAATAGCAGAGGCCATGGATAACAGGTCTGGTTGCAAGAAAATGGAGAGGAGGGTAGAAGAAAGAGACCCACTTGTCAGAGTGTGGAGTAAATACAGAGAACAAAGATGGTGCCGAGGACACAGAGGCCACTAACTTTATCTAGGCGAATTCAGCAGAAAGACAAGCCCATCAAGCTCTCTTTAGTAACCTTTGTGGCCATCATTCTATAAAAAGAAGTTCTATAACTAATGTATACAAAATACCCCAGAATTACCAAGGGGGAAAACTTTTGGTTAACTCAAGGACAAGTTTAATCACTAAAACTTAAAAATATAAACAAAAATCTATTTATACATACTTTCTAAAATTATCAATATTTAGCATAAGTACATGGAAACAAAAACCTTATCTATCCAAAGTATTGCATACCCCCTGAACAGTGTCACATAATTTAGGCATAACTGTAGAAACCTCAGACTATTGAAAAAGAATGAAGTTGTGGTGGCCAAGTGACAAACTTTCTACAAGATATCTGATGAACCTGGCAATTGCTAATGCTCTGTTTTAGTAAGAATAAAACCCACCTAGTTTGACTTCAAAGGATCAGTTTTAGAATTAGCCAAGAGACTAAAAAGCTGGAAAAATATTTCTACTGTAACCATAGCATCTTGGAAAAAATTCCCAAAGTATGTAGTGGCCATCTGTAATGTTCTCTGGTTTTTGATACCCTTCCTATGTTTGATGAATTTCTAACCTTATGAAGTATGACCCCCTTAAGTAAAACCCAGAAAACTCAGTTATCTAGCTTGCTCCTGCTCCAAAGGCTCTCCTAATCAGAGTCAACTGTGAAAGACTTTTGATTCAGAAGTGAGCAGTTAGAGGAAGGGGCTCTAGATAGCATCCATTTGCTCATAAGGATGGGAAGCATTCAACTGTTGATTATTGCTATGACTGAATTAAACAGGGGGTCCCCACAGTGCTTGATAGGAATGCTGCAGCAAAGAGGGACTTATCTTTAAGCAAGTTTTGTGGTGTAGTTTTTGGTATTGTTTCTGGAAGCTTTACCTTGACCCTGGTTCTCCAGCTCTCAACAACTTGGTCAACAACTATATTTCTTTTTAATAAATATTTCTGCTGCTTAACTGGCCAGAGGTAGTTTCTTCTGCTTAAAATAAGAACCCTGATTGATACTCAATGGCTACTAGAAGTGGCTGAAGGCAGTACCTCCTCAGGAAGATCTATGAATGGTTATCTGACTCTGTAAGGGTTGATGGCTCTAAAAATCCAGCTAATTTTCTGGAAAAAAAAAAAAAAAAAGGTAAAATCTGGCAGCGCATAGCCCACAGTAGCAAAGTAACAAATGATTAACTTCAGTCACTTGAAATGAAGTGACAGATGAAGGCAAGACTATGGGAGATCCAGTGGCTTCTAACACTGAACAATATGAAGAGCATGAAGAATTCAAGCACAAAATTAGTTGCTTCTGATTCCACAATACAGCTTTAAAAGAAGACAATGAAATGCTCACAATCCTAATGATGCTCACAATTCTCAGTTCAAGGCAAGGATCACAGCCACCACAGCCACGAGCTACTCCCTGACACTGTTCCCTGGGAGGGAAAAGCCAGCATTAGTGAACAGCACTGTCTTCTAGAGGCCAGGAGAGCTGATGGGCACCACTGCTTTCAGTGTAGACCACGGGATAGGGAGGTAGCAGACCCCAGGGAGAAGCACTTAACTAGAAGAGGCAGGAGGAAATGGTTACTGTTATTGCTACAAGGGTTGGGTTAAAATACTTTGACCTGCAGTGACCACTGGCTCTGGCTACCTGATCAGACAATCTGTATGGACCAAAGAGATAGGCATCCAAAAAAATTCCAACTTAATAAAATGATTAAGATATCCAGGTTTAGTGAAGAGAGGTCTGACTTGAGCCACTGCAACAAAAATTTGTAATGTCTTTTCCAATTTCTAGTCCTAAGTCAATTCACAGACCCAGAGTTTTTTGAGTGAAGCAGAGAATGCAAGTACTTGAAGACATACATTGCAATGACATCACAGGTATAAACTGCAAACTCTCAACTTGGCTTTCCTCATAAAGGTAACTGCACTGGAGAAAGGGAAATACCAGGTCTTTTGGGTACTATTGTCTAATAGCTCTGAATTAACACTAAAACTGGAGGCCCAGAATACCACTGTGAATTAGTGGTCAAAACGGAGGCCTGAGGGAATCTAACGATGAATGCACTTTTAATCTGAATCTGCCTCCTATCTAACCTGGTTGAGCCCTAAACACACATACAGTATACAGTTGGAATTGGAGGTGGAGATAAGATTACTAGACAGTCATTTCAATGAAGCTGCTGCTGCAGATGTGCATTCTTTATCAGAACTCTTAGCACCAGGTATATGACTATTAATCTGGCAAATGCTTTTTCCCTTCTATTTCAACAGAGAGAGAACACCTATAATAGCAATTTTCATATGACAGGTAGGGTAATAAACCATTTTATCTTAGGGTTATATAAATTATTTGGCTCTGAACCACAATATACTTATTTCCTTAAGACCATTACTGTCTCACCATTACACAGGACAACTACATTGATAACATATGTCTCCAGTACACATACATAATACATACTCAAGATCCTTTGCAAAGAAAAGGTATGTAAAAAATGTATGAGTCTAATATGAGTGCAGTACAGTGGGAGATAACATCATATAAAAATATAAGAGCTACACCTCAATAAAGTTTCTGAGGGGTCCAGTGATCTTCAGCCTATCAGGATAGCCTCTTCAAAGTTAAAGATAACTTATTGTATCTTATGCCTCCTGCCACTAAGAAAGCAGCACAGTGCTAGGTGCTAGGTGGGACTCTTTGAAGGCTGTGCGTGTGTGTGCGTGTGCGTGTGCAAGTGTGTGTGTTACTTTGGGAATCTTGCTCCGACCTATTTATGAAGTGACCCGAAAGCCTCTAGTTGTGAGTGGGCCCCAGAGGAAAAAGGAGGCTTCCTAGTTAGTCCAGGCTACAGTGCATCTACCTAGACTTAATGACGAATAGACTCAACGGGTGTTAGAAGTGTCAACAGTTTATCAAGAGCCTGTGGTGAGTTCTGATAGAGGAATCCCAGCATGGATCTATAAAGGCCTGGAACAAAGTCATAAGGTTTACCCCATGAGACTTCACTAAGAAGCAGTTAGAAGAGTGAAACTTCATGTGGAATCTTCCTTGCTGGTGAGGGTGGTGGCAGACCTTGGGTTTTGGAGGCAGCAGAGGTTGTGAAACGGTTTTAGTGATACACAAGTGGCATAAATGGCAAAGTGGAAGCAACCATGGTTTTCTTTAGTGCTTGGTGGGGAAGAAGCAGCAGCAATGGCAATTCCTCATTAGGCCAGTACTATATCATGGTTTTATTCTTTAATTTTGGAAGCTGAGCTGTTTCTCTCTTCCAAATAACCTCTTAATAAGCAAATTCCTTTTTTGCTTAACCAGTCATAGATAACTTCTGTTGCTTAAAATTAGGAATTCAAACTGAATATAAAAATATATATAATTTTCAAACAGACCAACACCTGTCAAATACTTATAGGATCTTAATATTAGGTTACTCTCAAATTCTCTGATAAAGGGATATAATGATAAAAATTAGTTCTTAGGTGGTAAACTGATGTGAATGTTGGAGCTTTATGTATAAAACTGAGGATTATGGAATCTCATGCAGGGAATCTCAGCTGAACCAATAAAGATGAATGCAAAATTACTGGAAAAAGACTACAGGATAATAAATATCTTTAAAAGAGAAAGAACAAGAAGAGATGTATGTTGGTACAGCAATCTCAGAGAAGGAAAAGAAGTGCTGGTAAAATTACTGTCTTGACTATTCGTTTAGTATTATTATTTTTAAAAAGTAACAAAAATAGTCTGACAATTTAGTCAGACATGTGATTCATCCATAATCTAATGGATTTCACTCAAAAATAACGTGATGATCATAAATGACATATCTTTTACCTCTCTGCTACAGACTAGAGTTCACATATCTTAAATAATTGGCCTCCCCTTAAGGAGTGAGCACAAAGCTTCCAGAGCAAGACAGGAACACAGAGAGGTCATGTCAGTGCATATGAATCAGCAAGGAACAGAATGTCAAGGAGGTTTTCTCTGTTTTTATATGAGAAGAAAAATACCGCATCTCTTAGAAAATGATTTTTTCATGCTGTTTCCAAGGCACTATTAGTTACAAACCAAATTGTTATTTTTGCTGTTTTTTCAAAGGAAAGAACTGATGGCTGAGGAGATACATATGATGGAAAACAACTATATAATAAATCAAATAGATTAAATTTTAAAACTACCAAGTGTCTTTTAGTAATAATCCCATCTCCTCTCTACTGAAAGTTGGAGATTTTGATAGTGGAAGGAAATAAGAAAATAGTCATTTCAGGAATTTCATTTAAAAAGCAGCACATGAAAAATAACCAGTTTTTAACTATTTATATATTAGAAAAAGAAGTTAAAGAATCAGAACTAACAGGTATTCATAAATATCCAGGATAGTTAAAAAGACTATTAATCTATTATGGAGTAAGCCTACAAACCTACAGATATAATTTCTATAGTCCAATTTAAAGTACACAAGAGGAAGGTCGTATATTTTTAAATGTTTTACAAGAAACTCTTGTAGATGTTTGTGCAAAGCCTGAATTGTTATTGTTCATTGTATCTTTCTTGTAAATGAAAATAATTTCTTCTTTCTATATCTCAAGACAGAATTAAGAACTGAGGGAATTCCCTGGTGGTCCAGTGGCTAGGACTTGGCACTTTCACTGCCGTGGGCCTAGGTTCAATCCCTGGTTGGGGAACTAAGATCCTGCAAGCCACGCAAAAAGAATTAAGAACTGAGAGCCACTGAAGAAAAGTGTCAGACTGGAGGAAAGAGCAAGGCTATGAGGCTTAGCTCCAGGCTAAAATCGAATAAAATAAAATTAAAAGAAATATATTTTCCAAGCTAACATAACTTTAAAATTTAACAAAATGAATAGTTTCCAAACAGAATATGTTGGGATCATGACTCATTTTCTTAATCTTCTGCATAAAAAAAATTGTTTGCCATAATTACTTGTATATTTTAATATATTTTAAAGGACTGAAATAACTCTGACATGTTAATTCTATTTTGTTTTTTTTTTTTTAATTCCTAAGAGGAAGTATAATTTTAAGGGAATTTGGCATTAGCCTATATGACCCTAGAAATGAGTATTAATTCCAATGATGTGTCTATGAGGACTTTATGAGAACTAAAGAGAATAGGCTAAGGGCTTAGTTTTAAACACTGGTATTAATGGGCTGGATTGGACTAAAGGTACAGATAATACTACACAGAATAGTAGAGCTAGGCTTGGCTTAAAAAAAAAAAAAAACCAAACTATTGTTCACTTATTACTGCTACCACATAAGCTTGTGGTGGCTTTAACTTCAGAGCCCAATTTATGATGCACATTTTACAGAAATCTTGTTTAAGACTGTGTCAATATTTCACCACCACCTAATATGGTCATGACAATTAGGAAAACAATGGGCCTGTTTTTTATATAATCAAAACCTTAAAACCCTGCAGGAATAAAATAATATTTAAAGTATCTAAACAAATAGTCTTTGCTAGGATACTCAAAAGCTCACTATACGTGAAAAGCCTATTTAAAAATAATTTATAAATCGTACGTAATACATGATTTCAAGCAATTTCCAAAACGAGATGTGTGTGTGTGTGTGTGTGTGTGTGTGTGTGTGCGTGCACACGTGCTATCCATGTCTTTCTATTTTTCCTCCTAATTTATCTGGATGGAGCCAATTTAATTAATTTATCTAGACAGAGCCTGTAAAATTTATCTAATTTATCTAGATGGAGCCTATAAAAGTAAAAGGTATATTACAAGCTAGTTAGTGAAGAAACCGACAATCCTAAAATACCATTTGAAAAATACTATGTAAAGTAAATTATCAAACCAGATTTAAAGAGTTACTGAGGAAGCTCCCTATATAGTTTGCAGTCAGATAGAACCAAGTTAAAATCTTGACTCTCTCTTTTACTAATCTCAGGCAGTTATCTCACATTGTTGACTTAGTTTTCCTTGTCTGTAATGTGCAGATACTACTTTAGAATAATTTTGAGGATAAAGTGAAACTGTAGAAGTAAAGCAGCCACCATGGTATCTTGGACAAACTTGGCACTCAATAAATGGCTGCTGTTTTGTATTTTTTTCTGATACAGCCTTAGATTCCACTTAAATTGAACATGTCTAGTTATTCCTTTAGCATTAAGGTCACATTAAGATGGTTTTTTGGTTCCTATATTGCTGAATTTCCATGGTAAGTTTTTCCATAGTTGAACGAGCTTAGACCTTTCAAAGTCTTCTCCTAGGTTATATCCTCAATAGTTCACTCTAAAACTCTGATTTCCATGAAAATGTCAACATCTTTTCCAAATATAGAACTCAAAACAGGACACTAAAGCACCACAAGAGAAGAAGATGGTAACATGTGGGTTCCTGTCTCCATGATCAATTGCTTTCTGTATCATTGAGTATTTCATGCACTTCTAGTTCTCTTAGCTGTTGATGTTAGGGTTCTTCACTGATTCTAACTACCATGGTCTTTTTGATAATCATCTCCAGATATTGACTTCACTCTAGATAGTACAATGAAACTGCTAGTATAAATGAAGTTGACAAGGCCAATTGCTGTGATGTAGAGGAAAGAGTACAGGATCAAAAAAGGAAAACTCAAGTCTCAGCTATGGTTTATTAGATCTAGCCTTGGAAAAGTGAACATTTCTATCATCTTTGACTCTCTAGTTTGTAAAATCAGAATAATAACCATGCAGGTGATTATAAGAATCAAATAATATATGTAAAAACTTTATATATTTTAGTTGTTAAATATGTATTGCCATTATGAATACCAGGGTATAAACTCTCTTTCTTGATGATCTCATTTATCCTTGTGTCCTGACCACAGTTCTCAGACTATTAAAAATGCTTAACATTTCTTTATAGAATGGAAGAATTTAAACTGAAATTTCCCAGTACATAGCTTAGAATGGAACATGGAAGGGCGTACACAAATGCATGTTGTATAGATATAAGGATCTATGTTGTATAGATCAAGATGCTAGCAATTTGGAATACCACTTCATTATTCATTTCTTCCTAATAGTTTAATAGTAACATGTTAAAGGCAATAGTGGCTCTTAATAAATAGTTCGTGAATAAATGAAAACATATATACATGCTTTTTGACTTCTAAGGTTGGCTAAAGGGTAAGACAACATCTGAAAAAAAACAAACTCCATCTCCACTGCCCCCAATAATATAAGCTTCATGAACCAGGACATTCTAGAATTGCAACCAAAAGGTATATTAAGAATCTAGAAATAGACTTTTTAATAAAAATCTTTATAAATTAATTTGCTTATTCCTATAAGAGACCAAACCCTTTGTCTTCTCACAGACTATTGTCCATCCTCTTTTTACTATTGTAGCCTAGTCCATATTTTAGTTTCCATTTGACTGAAATAAAAAATCCACTCTTATCTCCATAGTCTTAAGAGATGTTCTGGAATTCTATTGTCAGTGATTATCAGCACAATCTTTTTGACCTTTTTTCAAGCACTGCCACATGTTGTGGTATCTACTATTGCTTCAAGCCATTTTTTGACCTTTACTTAAGGTAATATGCTCTTATACTTTCCTTCCAAAACCAGACTTTCACCTTTTTAAAGATATGGTGGTCCTCGTCCTCCACAGCTGCTTTGATCTGGTAGATACTACATAGTGCCACACGACTAACAAAACATAAACATGGGTCTCTGTTATCCTCTTATTCTTCTTGGCTTTTAATCTGAAACTTTCATTTCTGACCTATTCACAAACTTTTGTCCCTATTCTTTATTGATGACTGTTGCCCACAGAAGTGGTTTGCCAAATGGTTAATAGCTCAGACTCCAGAGCCAGACTGTCACTTTCTAGCTTTATGATCTGGTGGTTAATAATGCTATTGAGAGTAATGAATACATGCACACACTCTTAAATGATAATATCCTTAGACTAGTGCCTGAAACTTAGCAAATGCTATATAAGTATTAGCTGTTATCATTGTCAACATCATTTCAATATGGGGGCCTCTGATAGCTACCACTTCCTCTAGGTCTGACCTCTGATCTTCCTTCTACACCAGCTGCTCACCATTTACATCATGAGCCACCTAGATATTCTTCACTTGGGCCCATCTCAAGAAGCTATATCTAAATACAGGCCTATCGCATACCCATCAGGCATGTCAACTCCTAAATTCCATGGCCTATGACTCAAAGTTGACACTTTGATTTTATTGATTTGTCTTTGATTTGAATCAGTTCTTATCACCATCTGAATTTTAAGAACTCTAGTATACTGAAGGAAAGGAGAAGTCATCTGAATACCTAAGAAAAAGCTAAAACCTTTTAATGAAGAATAAAGCTAATTCACTGTAATAATTCAAGAAGTGATTAATTACTTACATGAACATTTTAATTACACAAAAACAGAGAATGAACGTTTTCAGATACTAACTGACTCCAACTAAAGTATTTATACTTACAGTACTTTGATTTAAAAGTTTTGCTTTGCTTTAAACAAAATTGCTATCCCAAAGACCAGTTAAAGAAGAGTACATTAATTGCTGTGCTGAACTAGTTCTTAAGTGCAAATGCATAAATTTTCATTTTAAGCTGGAATGTATGTTTTATTCCCTGAAACAGGAATAGCATTAAGCTATGTCTATAGTATCTTTTCTCAGTTACCCACTGTTGAAACGGAAATGATCAATAGATTTGCCTCACCAAAGTAAGTTCTTTCAAGGTTATTCTTATGCAAGTGAGTCCAGCAGAGTAAGAAAGAGGATCAAGAAGATTGTTAAAATAGAAAGTGAAAAACAGCAATAAATTTGATTTTAAAGTATAGTGTATGAAATAAGCTTTCAAAGAAGAGTATGAGATTGAAAAATAGTAACTTTTTAGATCATACTTGTATAAATCTTTAAATTCTCTTTGGCATCAAAAAACAAGGTACAACTTAAAGTACAGATAACAATTGAGTGTGAGGGTACATTATTCATTTTAAAATGCCTTGGTCAGATAAAAGCATTTTCTAATATGAGACCCAAAGCAAAAGTTACAAGGGCAGATGCTGAATTGCTACTGAGCTGCATCTTGCATAGGCAACTCTACAGCCTGCCCCAGGACAAGCAGAAGCAAGGCCAATCGATTAGGATGAGAAGGCGCAGGAGGCTGGGGAATGCCAGAAAAGTGTCACTTCCCTACA